AATTGATGAGTTATTGGATCATTTAGCAGGTAACAAATTTTATTCAAAGTTAGATATGAAGTCCGGATATTACCAGGTCGAAGTTGCCGAAGAACATAAGGAGCGTACCGCTTTCACAATTGGTCCGCTTGGTTTTTATGAGTATAACAGACTTCCTTTTGGTCTTTGTAATTCTCCCGCGACGTTTCAGAGGCTTTTAGAAGATTGCTTAGGAGATCTTCATTTGACGATATGTGTAGTGTATATTGATGATTTGATTATTTTTGCAGATTCATTCGAGGAGCATCTACAGCGCTTAAATAAGGTTTTAGAGCGTTTACGTCAGTGTAATTTAAAATTAGCACCTGATAAATGTAGTTTCTTTAAAAGACGTGTAAACTATGTTGGACATGTTATCTCCGAAGCGGGTATTGAACCAGATCCAGAGAAAATTGAGGTGATCCAAAAATGGCCACGCCCATTGAATTCTGTCGAGGTAAGAAAATTTCTTGGATTTGCTGGTTATTATCGTCGTTTTGTGAAAGATTTTTCGAAAATATCAAAACCTTTATCTATTTTGATGCCCACAACGGGTAAGAAAAATAAAAGTAATGTTTCCGTCAAGTGGAAGTGGGATATTGAGCAGGAAAATGCATTCTGTGAATTAAAGGATCATTTGTGTAGTTCTCCAATTCTTACAAGCTGTGACTATACGTTACCATTCGTTTTACATATTGACGCTTGTCAAACTGGTCTGGGTGCAGTTCTTTATCAGAAACGAGATAATTTATTGAAAGTTGTGGCTTACGCGAGCAGAAGTGTGAATAAATCGGAACAAAATTATTCTGCTCATAAATTGGAATTTTTAGGGTTAAAATGGGCCGTTACAGAAAAGTTTCATGATTATTTGTATGGGAACAAGTTTGTGGTGTATACCGACAATAATCCATTAACCTATATTTTGACTTCCGCTAAATTAGATGCAACAGGTCATAGATGGCTCGCCGCTCTTTCTGCGTATGATTTTGAAATAAAATACAGACCCGGGAAAAATAATTTGGACGCCGATTTATTGTCAAGATTACATAAAGAATCGGAATATATTTCGCATGAACAGGTACATGTAATTTGTAATTCTATTCAGCCGAGTAATTATGCCGAATGTTTAAGTATATCACCAGAATTAGTGCCGGAGGTAAATTTAGGTCTAAATGGTATGACACCACGTGATTGGAGAAAGGAACAAGCAAAAGATGCCTCTATATTGTCTATTCTTAAATATTTAAGGTCGGGAATAAAGCCATTTGACAAGGAGTTCAACAAAGAGGTCCAAGTATTATGTCGTCGTTTAGAACACTTAAAGCTGAAACAGGGAGTTTTATATCGATCTGTGGAACATGAAGGGGAGATAATTGAACAACTCGTACTTCCAGGTCATTATAGGAAATTAGCATTTCAGGCTCTTCACGATGATCTTGGTCACATGGGTAGAGATAGAACTATGGTATTAATGAGGGAACGATTTTATTGGCCTGGTATGGCAAGTGATGTTGAACTTTGGATCAAGAATTGTGAACGTTGTTTGAGACGAAAATCTCCTACAAATATCCGAGCCCCTTTGGTGAATATAGAAACTACTCACCCCCTTGAAGTTGTTGCGATGGATTTTCTAACACTAGAACCATCTAAAGGTAATTATCAGTATATTCTAGTTATTACAGATCTGTTCACAAAATATGCTCAAGCAATACCTACACGGAATATGACAGCTCGCACAACGGCTGAAGTATTTTTCAATAATTTTATAGTTCATTATGGTTTACCAAGTCGGATACATTCTGATCAAGGAGCTAATTTTGAGAGTAAAATTATTAAAGAATTATGTAGTTTAGTAGGTATGGATAAATCCCGCACCACAGCTTATCACCCGATGGGTAATGGGCAGTGTGAAAGATTTAATCGGACACTTTTGAATATGCTGGGTACACTTACGCCGGAGAAGAAAAATGATTGGAAAATACAAGTAGCACCTCTTGTACATGCATATAATTGCACACGACATGAAACCACTGGATTTTCACCTTTCTATTTAATGTTTGGACGCCACCCTCGTCTTCCAATAGATTTAGCGTTTGGAGTGAGTCGAGAAGTGTCTAATGTGTCATTACATTCGTATGTAAAAGCGTTAAAGGAACGGTTACAACGTTCTTATGAATTAGCGATTAAATCATCAGAGAATTGTAAAGAAAAACAGAAGACAAAATATGATCGGAAAGTTAAAGGTATTCGTCTTGATATTGGTGATCGTGTTTTAGTACGTACTTTAGCGTTTCAGGGAAAACACAAATTAGCTGATCGATGGGAACCTGGCGTTTACATTGTTGAGGATCAACCTAATTTGGAAATTCCTGTTTTTGTGGTCAGACCAGAGTCTGGGCGTGGACGATCGCGTACTTTACATCGAAATAATTTGTTATCAATCAATAGCGTTGAACCCGTGTATTTTCCGACTCCAAAACCGAGAAAGCGAAAAATAGTAATTGAGTCTAAAGTAGCTGCGGAAAAATGTGTTGAATTAGATTCAAGTTCTGATGAAGAATTTAGTTATGTGGAAGCCAATGATCCTGTAAATGAGAATTACCCGGAGGTTATTCTTACGGGAGGAGGGGAAGGTGATCATGAAATTATCGAGGATATTGTTGAGGGGGATCACAATACCGAGATATTTCATGGGGCATCTAATGACGCATCTGTAAGTAATGAAAATACTGAGGTAAAATCAATTGAAGTTAATGTTTCAGGTGACGCCGTAGATAATAATCCAAGTCCTCTACCGGCAGATGTATCTATTGAAACAAGACCTCGCCGAACATGTAACCAACCTCAATGGATGCAGAGTGGTGATTTTGTTATGGCTCAAATTAATAATCCGTCAGATTGGTATGAGAAAGCTAACTATATTCATTCATTACATCTTTCAGGTTCTTTAAGCAAAATGGCTCCAGAGGTTAGTACGGCATTGTTGTCGTTAATTACTGGTAAGTAAATGACGGGACGTCATTTTTACGGTGGGGGGAAGTATGTAACAGGGTCATATTTTGGGACTCTGTCAATTAATGTTGGTGAAGAATGTCCTGATCAGTGTCTTGATTGTTGGAAGTTTTTAATAAGTGAGTTTATAGTTTTGGTTGTGAGATAATGTAAATTCATTAAAATGTTTTGGGGGATGGATTTTCAGTTGTATGGGTCTGGAATTGTATTGTCCGGATTATGGTGTTTTATTTTAGTGGTTGAAATGTCTTAGTTCTTATATGGGTTTACTTTTAATATTTTTTGGTATAGTTGAAAGGATAACTCGTTGGACTCTTTATAGTTCTGAAGGTGGTCTCTTTCTGAAATATTGTTTATCAGGTGATTAGTAATTCTTTGTCCTGGTTGGTTATTCAGAAGTTTAGCTGGGATAAAACTAAATTACACGCATGCATCAGTACCACATGTTACAGATTTAGTGAAGGTCAATACCGGCTCTTTTCCACAAATGGGTAAGCTATTTAATTTAACTTTCTTGTAATAGATGACTGCAAGTGGACTGTGAGTTTCATGAGTGTTTGATATATAATTATATATGTAATTCAAATACTGTAAGGTAAAAATTGTAGGATGTGTAGCCAATAGAACTGTTGGTTACGAATATATGGATAATGGCAACTATTGTATTTTCAGGGCCAACTTGTCGAGCATAAATGTATTTTGTGTTATAGTTATGTGTAGTACCAACAGAAATGGTGTTTAATGGTTATGGTGAATTGAAATACATCTAGATCGACCAACATCGACTACGCGCTTACGCGTTTCATTTAATTGTTTTTAAACTGTATCATGTGTCATTTGTGGATTATATAAACTTATTTAAACCTTATCGTGTTGTCAATCAAGAAATCTATTTTCCCGAACTAAGCAGGTTCAATCTATCAACTTTACCACACCATTGCAGGTGATGGAAAGGGTAGGTCTGCAATAATTTAATAATTTACATTAAATATACATTTTCCTATGCCTTCTTATTTCCTTATATGAGCCGAAATCACTGCCTTCTAATACATCATTACAAGTGGCCCAACCATAATAACTTAATGACAAACCAACCAATGAAATCTGGATTTCCAGGAAATTAGTCATTTGTAAAATAGACCCCTTTTCTGTGTAGTCCTACTATCGCTTTCCCAAGAATTTCACAAGCTTTTATCTAATAAATAAAATTTAAATAAAGTTCGGCCAGAAGGGGTGTGGACCGTTTATTTTGAATGTAGGTGAAACCATGCAGATCCAACGGGGGAAGGAGGTGGGGGGTGGGGTGGTCTCTCGTTAATTTGGGGCTATGTGAAGCCACGGTATTTGTTTGACGACGGTTGGAGATAAGAATCTGCCAATAACATCTGTAAAACCATGATACTTTCCATCGGCATAAAAACTCTAAACCCACGACTAAAAGCACGTCACTATACGTCTCCAAGGCTCAGTCCCTGGTCGAGCTCCTTGTAATACCCTGTCTAGAATCGACATTCGTTTGTTTGTTCCATGTATATTTGTTCTAGTGTATTAATGTATAATTTATATATCTGTATGCTGCTCTCCGTGCAATAAAACGCATCTTATCTTATCTTCAACTCCAAGGGTTGCCCAAAATTCAAACTGAAACACGTGCCTTGAAACCTGCGCCAAATTTATGCGGATTGATCTAACTACAGATTCACCAAACTACCATCTTAACCGTTCTTCAAATCGTCGGTATTTAGAAAACTTCAACATTAATTAATAACTAAATATTAGTTATACTTCGATGGTTTACAGTTCATAAAACAAAAACGATCAATTAAACGCGCGCTGTAAGCTATTGACGAAACGGCGAGAAAGTGTGGCATTTCTCCATTCTAGAAATGTCTTGCCAACAACAAGTTCCAGTCATTTCCTTATAAATAATACTGTAACATAAAGGCCTAAATGAATCCCTAAAAACTCACCTGTAGTAGGAGGAGTAGTTTCAGTCCTGACGTTGATGGCACACGTGAATAACACTAACACAATTATCACTCCGATATTCCTTGTATTGTCTTTAGTCTTTGAGAATTCCATCATGGAACTATTCCTCGCGTCACCCGCGGTTAAGAATTCACAATAATTTCTACGTTGTCACACACCGATAGCTTCTCGTTCCTTTACGTGCTGGCTTTAAAAATTACTTTCACAATATACGACCGCCACTTATTTCACCCGAAAGCTGATAAATTATCGCTTCGGTATCATCAGTTTATGAATGTCCTCAGTTGCACAAGAAGTCGGGGCGCTAAACAACACCCTATAATTGGATTAGTCTATATTTAGAGATAAATGACAAAGATACCTGTTCGCATGTACCATTGTCACCAGGGGGTGGTAGCTATCCGTTACATGCAGTAGATAAGGGATATTTGATAATGTTGATGTAAAATAATCACCCAACCCAACTACAGATAAAATGAACAGTTTTTCCAATAAACCGTAACAGCTGCTAACAGTAGATTTACAATAATCGTGACGTACACATTGACCTATTTAATAAGATTTCAACACAACAAAAGTTTCCAAATAATTTTCATAAAATGCAACAATAGAAAAAGAAACGCACAGGTGAAATGGACGTGTCTGACAGGTATATGAAGAATTTTTCCTTGAATCCGGGTATTTCAGGAAAAAGATGAGAATTACGCCATATTTTTACGTAAACAAAGATCTGACAGAATGACATGCAGGTATTGATTGGTTACAGGTAAATATATCGATTACCTTCACGCCTTTCTACCGACAGGTAAACGAACGTAATTACCAACCGATAAATCTACCTGGATAAAGATGCACGAGACTTCATTAATAAGATTTTCTGTGACTTGTCAACCCACAGGGGAATTTTATTTATTTATTTATTCTTATCAAGTCAGCTTTCCTTCTCGTAACCTATTTGTTTTACTATTCTCTGAGAGAGAGAGAGAGAGAGAGAGAGAGAGAGAGAAGAGAGAGAGGCCATTTCTTAAATAATTATTCGCTGGCGCTTATGGGCCTTTAGCAGTGGGATAAAACCGGATGATCCGAAGGAAAATCCACGAAGTTAGGCAGGCGGCAATACTCGTATCACGTAGCCTAATTGTTTTAGTCTCTGATAATTAATAAGAGAGAGAGAGAGAGAGAGAGAGAGTGGCCATTTCTTGAATAAGTATTCGCTGGTGCGTAGGGGCCTTTAGCAGTGGGACGAAACCGGATGATTCGAAGGAAAACCCACGAAGTTGGGCAGGCCACGATACTCGTTGTCACGTACAAGTATGGGATCAAAACCACGCCACTTGACTCAATGATGACAGACCTTATGATCTAAAGTGCACGCGTTAGAACATTCACCCCTCCCCCGTTAATAAGTAGAACTAGCTTGGTTAGCTATGCCAACTTTCGGGATAATTTATTAATTATGTCACGTGTCCTTGAAAGGATCAGCATACCCTGCTTCCCAAACGACACCCATCAGTACATAATGTAATGGGTCCACTCAACACTTGGGTTATTTTGAGACTGTCTAACATATGATGATTTCTTTCCTTTACGAATTACAATTGAGAGAGAGACAGAGAGAGGCAGAGAGAGAGAAGAGAGAGATAGAGAGAGAGAAGAGAGAGATGGGGTTTAACGTCCACTCGACACAAACTAGGTAATTTCGAGATTAACACATGGTTCAGTAATTCGCCACCCAAGAAGTGGTATCAGGTGTTCTAGAGAGAGAGAGAGAGAGAGGGAAAGATTGGTTTTAACGTCCACTCGACACAAACTATGTCATTTCAATAATTCGCTTGCGCGTAGGGGTCTTTAGCAGTGGGAGGAAACCGAAGGACCCGGAGAAAATCCATGAGGTTGGACACACGACCTTACTCCTTGTCACGTACAACCGGGGAATCGAAACCCCGCCAGTTGACTAAATGACAGACCTTATGATACAGCGCGCACGTGCTAACCATTCGGCCATTCAACTCCCCTAATTCCAATTGCGACGGGTTATTGAACATGTACGTGCATGCCAGTATGTAGTACAACAGACTCCTGTTGGTTTTGTTGTTTCTATAGGGGGGGGGGGGGGGCGAAAGTATCACCAAACTATTCACCGACAAGAGCGTTTTTGTCAACAACGCCCAAAGTATAGGCCCAAAGCCTGACCAAAAAGGAAAGATATTATTATAATATTATACACGACATATCCACAAATGCCTCACAGTTGTGAGTTTCATTTTAAACTAAATAATTAAACTCATCTTTTATATCAGATAGGTGACATGTGCGGGGGGCAATAACCACTGTAAATAATCTCATAAAGCATGCAAATAAATGAGTTTATGACATAATCGGTGTAATAATACAATACACAACAAAGACAGAATTATATTTTTAAGGAAAGAATTTAAATTAATTATTTATTAAACTTAAATTAGCGCTTCCTCTGCAATTATGTTCAAAATAAAATGGGGGACCCGGTGACTAAGCGGTTCGCTAACCTGGAGGTCGGGTGTTCGATCCCTGCATTGGCCGAGAAAGTTCATCCAGATTTTCTGGCGTGGTTCACTCTTGTCAGTGATACAGGGCGGAGCTGTCTAGTCGTTCGGATGGGACGAAAAACGGAGGTCCCGTGTACAATTTGGCGTGCACGTAAAAGAACCCTTGACAGTTGGAATTCGATATAAGAGTAGGCGATAGTGCCGCTGTCCGGGTAAACTTTCCCTTCATTAGCCCAGTTCGGAGCAGAACAGTAGGACGTTAAACCCCATTTCATTTCATTTTCAAAATAAAATATTTCATTTTATTTTGATTAGTGAAATAATGAAATAGAACGGAAATGGGGTTTAACGTCCTACTTTTAATATCCTACTTTTAACGTCCTACTTTTCTGCAGACAGGTATGCATCGTACTATAAGGGGAGGGGGGACTTGTTTCCGTCTGTTCTTTGTCAAATCCACCTGCAATGGTTTCGATTACGTGCGCGCCAACGTGTACACGGGACCTCGATTTTTATTAAATTGAACCTGTACAGAAAATGTTGTCAACTGTGAGAAATGGTATCGGGGTTTGACTTCAAACCATAGATTTATGTCTGCGTGAAGGTCTAGACCAATGCAAAGTTCTTCAGGGAATGACGATGGAAGAAATATTTGTAAGTAGGCTTACTCCCTCTGAACAACCATTATTCAAGAGTTAAACCTGCGTATTGCATGTCTTTATTTTGGCTCTAAATCTTATATAAACTATAATTTAGATCGTTATTTACCTGTCAAGCCTATAACCACCAGACCATCGGATGGCGGGGATTAATACGGATAGAAGCACGATCGCCATTTATTGATTTAATTAAAAAATGGTAGATCGAGTCTTAGTCTCGAATAATAAGTGCCGTTGCTACGATAATTAACAACCTATGCAACATTTTGTCAAAACTTCAAATAGCGATAACTTCGCCCAGAATACATTAATTTGAATGAAATTTTCAATATATTCATTTTGCATTATCTCTGTTTGAACTATTACAGTAAGGATGACCAACTCTTTATCTAAATCTTACAGTATTCTTCTTTAAAAGAGAGAGAGAGAAATGGGGTTTAACGTCCACTCGACACAAACTAGGTCATTTCGGGACCAACATATGGTTCAATTTTATTTACATAATTCGCTTGCGCGTAGGGGTCTTTAGCAGTGGGAGGAAACCGGAGGACCCGGAGAAAACCCACGAGGTTGGACAGGCGACCCTACTCCTTGCCACGTACAACCGGGGATTCGAAACCACGCCAGTCGACTCAATGACAGACTTTATGATACAGCCTAACCATTCAGCCATCCACCCACATGAAGACCTGACAAGTTATAGTGGGAGTTCACGTCAGGGGTCAAACGAGCGACTTTTTATCCTATTACGTCAGACATTGATTAATCAATCAGCGTTGACGTTTCTAGTGATTTACCCACAGTTCAGTGCATTAAAAGGCCAAGAACTCTCCGTAACAGATGGTTCCTTTGGCTAATCCCTCACATCATTCAGAACACGTCAATGATAACCACTCCTCCATATCCTAGTAAAGACAATAAAAACGGAATTTTGAACTATAAAAAACGACACGAAATAGGATCTGTACGTCTTTTAATCAGATTGACGGAAGAAATATTTGTTGGTAGTCATACAACCTACATACAAAGCGCCATTCGTTCTTTAGTAAATATCGATTTTTAATCAAAGTAATTTTTTTATGACATGCCTGGATAAAAAAGATACATGTAATTGGAATTTTTAGACAGATCCGGATCCCCCACTGAGGTTTTACATTGGAATCATATTTCTCTGTTCATTAAAAACATGGTCTGGTTCACTAGCCAAGAGGTGTCGGGTTCGAACCCAGCCTTGGCCGAGAAAGTTTCCCGGGAATTTCTAGTGTAGACCCGCCGTGATAATGGTGCAAAACGGAGTGCTGATCCTCATAGCACACTATATGGTGTATGCCCGTCATCATTAGCCTAATCGAAGCAGAACAGTAGGACGTTAAACCCTATTTCCTACTGTTCCGCAAGGGCTAAATCTGTTTGTTAAGGCCAGCTCAATTTTCATCAAGGTCGCTGAGATGTAAATAAAATTAGGGTACGTGATTTTTGGCGAGATTATAAGTTAGGGTTAGGGTTAGCATTGGGGCTAGATCCAGGGTTTGGATTAGGGTTGGGATCCGCGCTAGCCCTGTTTACATCACGTGGCCTTATGAAATGGATCTAACCGTTGTGCAAGTTTAAAGAGAGTTTCTGGGGTATAAGTTTAAAGGCTCAATACCACACTTGTTGTAACTGAATAATATGTCCCAATATTTATTCTGGTCAACAAATTGCACTATTTTACAATATTCAAATTAATTGATGATACAAATTTCATCTTAACACACCTAATTTAAAAAAATGGAAAAATTCAACTAAATGATTTGAAAAGCCTGACGTAAAACTTTTCAAATGTGACATGGATTTAAAAATATTTTTGAATCCTCTGGACAAGTAAAATATGATTTAATGGATAATTTAGACAACAGGTAGGACACTAACACATCTAGTAATTGGAATAAGGCTATTTTTATATTTTATTGAGCTGTCAAGCCAGCAAGAGTGTTATTGTCCCTTTAACAGATATATTATCAGGTCGTCAGCTTAGAATAAGGCTATTTTTTTTATTTTCTGGAGCTGTCAAGCCAGCAAGAGTGTTATTGTCCCTTTAACATATATATTATCAGGTTGTGACATAAAACAATATGTGAGTGTCTGTGATAAACGATTATATACTAATCTTGGTACGTTACACGACCCTCATTAAT